CAGAGAGAGAGATCGAGAGCATAAAATAAAATAAAATAGGATAAACTATTGGATGTGAAATAAGCAACACCAAAAACGACTACGCCTCCATTAAAATGCTAATAGCATTGAAAGAATTACACTTATCAGAGCCATTTTAAAACTGCCAGGATCCCCTTGGAATATCACAGCTGATATAATTCCTTCACCTGCCTCGATCACATTCCAACAAAGCAAAGTATAACATGCAGTAAAAGTAATACAGAATTATTTAAACAAAAGTAAGAAATAGTAACATAAAACAGATGTATAGATAGAACCAAGTAATGATCAGAGAGTCTGTAAGAAGCAAGCCCCGATATACTTTGTTTAAGAATCGAGTCATGGCCAACATAAAAACTGAATATTAAAAAATTAGACAATGTAGTACTTTGTGGAAAGATTTAAAATCCAAGCTTACACAATTAATTACATAAGAACATGTCTTCACTGACAAAATGAAAACAGAAAACAATCATGCACCAAGAAACAAATCAATTGATAAAATGGATTCACTGACTATTCAGTGATCTTCATTGTATATTTGATTTCAGTGAAGCATTTTACTGTGGATTTCATTTAGGAAGATCCTTGGTCTTCATTGCACAGAAATTGGGGAGATGAATAGCAGATTCATTCAGTCCTGCTACTGTCACATTCATATTCACTGTGATGTTACTAACTAATGCCATGTAGGCACTTGGGGGGAGAGGTCGTATAGCTCCTCCTTTTTCTTGACCTCCGCACTAGATGGGGGTGAGTGGTCAGCGTCACACCCCAGCCACACATTACCCCGGGAAAGGACCCCGGTACCCATTGAACAGGATGCTGGGTGGGCCCCAGAACTGGTCTGGACACAGAGGCTACAGGAAAAATCCTCTGCCACCATCAGGGATCGAACCCCGGTTGTCCAGTACATAACCAGTCACGATACTGACTGAACATTTCCTTTCTGTCTGTTAGCTTTGAAGTTCAGTCAGAAGGTAAATAATTCACAGCCAGTTCACAGAAATTAAAAACTAAAGGTATAATTTTATGAAAGAAGACAAAGAAAAGATTACAGATCCCTTTCAAGAAGACGACTGAAAGAGTAGTTGAAGAAACTGGATCAAGAATTTCTATAATAGAGTAAATTTTAAAGAAGGCCTGATCAATTTAGAATTGAAAAGACTTCAACTTTCATAACTACTACTAACAAAACATGCATAGTTCCACTTGTACAGAGAGTGTTTCAATGAATATGTTGTAGTGAAATGGTTTATAAAAATTCTTATATTATGGAGAAGAAAAGGCCAACACTGAAATCCACTTAAATAAGCACATCAATAACATTAGTTTTCAAGAGAGTGAAGACGTACAGCAAAATGAGGATTAAAAATGAGCCAGAACTGAAAACAACAGAAATTTCTTATTGACTTCATATCTAACAGCAATAAAAAATACAGATAAGAAGGATTAAATTTTGTGTAAATTGGCAAGTCCTATATAGTCATAGAAGCCACTGTAGAAGTAAAGGATGGACTGATTGACATAGTTATGTGCCATTTTCAAAGGAAAGATGATTAAGTACTGTTCATGTTTTGCGGAAAAAATGGATTTGTTCGAGGACAGAGAAACCAGTGACTACCACATTGGGCAATTTTGAAACATCAAATCAGAATGCAGTGTTACGAATTTGACAATGTTCAATTTATTTCTCATGAGAAATGTCAGGCTTAGCAGACTTGGAACCAAAGTGTAAGTGAGTGATTCTTTCTAGTCAACAGGAATAAATTCTAGATGAAGCAGTATAATAGAACGTTGTTGTCAATTTGAAATCTTCAATTTCAGATTCTTTCAACTTAGGAAGATAACGTGATAAACAGTGAAATGTCCTGTCTAATACCTCTCGGTGGTGATAAGAAAATTTTGAACATGCTTCCTCCAAGGAGAAGCCTATATCATTTTGAGAACTATGCCCTGATCCCACTGATTTTGAGCCTGCGTGTCTCTTGGTTTATTAATGATGCTGTCAACAGTTCAGATTCTGTATGAATTATACAGTGACATAGGAGAGAGCTACAATTAACTGTACTTTTCATTTGTACAAATAATATTCTATAATATGTATTATACAAAAGTATATGTATTACATATGACACATAATGTTTGTATATGTATCATGTTTTTGGCATTATATTCAATTGTTGTCTAGAGTTAATCACTTTTACTTACTTTAATTATCATGCATAATAATGAGCACAAATTTATAAACCCACATTTCTGAATGCCAACCTTTTTCCCTTCACAAACTAAAATCACGCATTTCATTTTGTCCCTGTGCACGACAGCGCTCACTGCTGTTTTGGGGATTTATAGTCACGTAGAGTGGCAGTACCCCTACTCAAAATATCTCTGTTCTTCAAATCTGTCTTTATCAGGTATGGCTTTGTTTCTCTCAAATAAATTTCCCCTTTTGTGCATGCAACCAAGGTTCTTCCTATTTGAATCTAAACAGGAATTTAACAATTATATTGTTTACTTCAATAAATTCACGATGAACGTTTACAGCAGTTTTACAACCTTTAGAGCAATTATGTAATGTTCAATTTAAAAAAAAACTCATTTCTAATATATCTGATATTTTAAGGTGATCATATGACCAGTTACAGTAGTCTTTCTTCTTGGTGCGAAATTTAATAGCTACCTCACGAATATTTTTTTGCAACTTTTTAGATTTGATCCAATATCTATCTGAACCACATTCTTTTTAAGTGGCATACTTTAGTTGCAGTCAACCATTTATAGAAAAGGTAGTTAATCACGATTCACCCCAAAAATAGTTCCACGATGTAATTTCAGTTTTCAAATGGAAAAAGACTTTGGTCACTTTGTTCCGAACGGTTATATTCTTACGCAGCATTCCATTTGTAACAAGATAACCTGTGGTATTTCAACCACTGACAAAATGTCATTCTCAAATATAGTTTATTATGTTGATTTCAGTCTTCTAGCTTGTGATAATGCATATTCTTGTAGGTGGTTACCAACATTCCTCCAAAACATTTGTAAGCATACCTTGAAAATAGATGCAGTATGTTTTCCTGAAACACTGGTAACCAGCTGCAAGACTACACAGCATCATGGACCAGACGACCACGATAGATATCTTCACCGCCGTGATGCCCTCAAATCTCAGAAACTTCAATTCCCTCTTTCACATTTTAATAACACGGAAAACCCTTGAGCTAATAATATGAGACTACACCTGGCCAATGTTCCTGAACAAAGCTGCTGTCAGGCAAACTGCAGATGACTAGACAAAGGCCTCGTGGACAATAGAGAATCAGAGGAACTGCGGCCAGTGTGAATACTCATCAAAACCTAAGTTGCCTGCTTCTTCACTAAATATAAAAATATGTAACTACATGTCAAAAATAATACATGTTCAGGCAACATATTAATTCAAACAAAACATCAATCAAGTTATTTTCCTTTAAGAAACAAGATTCCTAATACAACTGCAGATACTTGAAATCCACAGTTAGCAAAGCTGCGATAGGTTGAATACATTTTTCAAAACAGCATGTTCATTTACAATTTTTGTTATTTTCACGCATGTCAGTATAATAAACGGCTCTCATCACGAGTAGAATACAATTCTAGTACGAGATTGAAGCAAAATAAAAAAGCTTGCTGAAAATCAACCTAGATGGCAGCCTATATGCAGACAGTAATATTTGTTGTTTTATATGAGGATGCATTGAGTTCATAAACACTGTTTCAATTTTTTTCCTCTATGACTTGTTTAATATACTACAATTCCAAAACATTATGTAACACTGCATTGAATGGAAGCACATCTTTCCATGAACTAAATTAGCTCTGAAGAGAAATTATTGCATATATCGATAATTCAATAAATGCCATATCTCTTTAATGCAAGTGATACTCAGAAGACGTGATGTCACTTTAGGATGATTTACAATAATCTGAGTATTTCCAACTTGCTTGTCCCTGCTGAGCTACTATTGGTTAGCTGCACATCAAATGAAGGTCTCCTGCCGCTTATGATAGAACCGCTCCATGAGGTACACAGTATCGATATGGTCCATGATTCTGCGTCCTACAAGGTACTTTACCTCTTCCTGGCCCTCCTTGCCGGCGATGTGGAGTGCCGTGTACATGTCCTTAGTGGTGGAGTCCACAGCGGCGCCATGTTGCAGAAGAAGCATCACGATGTCGACGTTACCCAGCCGAGAGGCAATGTGAAGAGGTGTCTGCTGCTCCTGGAACAGAAACTGCTTCAGCAAATTGTTCTGAGGTGCACAAATGCAGTCATTTCTCCACTTATGTATTTTTAATATAAGTGTTTGAAGAATCTTAACTATTACCTTATTTACACTGTTCTAATTATAATCTTAATAAAGTTAGATGATCAGTAACAGACTATACCACATGATGGAGGCATCGTCTCTTAATATGTTAACATAAAATTAGTCGTTACTAGGTCCTACAGAACAAATATCTATCTAAAAAATGTCTCTTACTTTAACAATAAATTTAGTATAATGGAAGTTTCCACAAAACAAGAAGCCATAAAAACCATAGTTTCACACACTTTACTTTACATTACTTTACTGGACTGTACAGTATTTTAAGATATATTCTAAACTCTTAGTTCATAATCTGACCCCTACTTATTATACGTACCACAATTCAACATTATTATGATATAGCATTTGATGAAGCCAATGTTATGTGTTGTATGTGATTTTTTAAATTAAAATTATATTCTAAAATATTTAATATCTGACCTAAGATTCACTTTATAATTTATCTTGAGCAGTAGTAGTATATCATTATGTGTGTGTTTATTTAATTGTATTTATTACAATGGGTCCGCAGTGGCCGCGCGGTCTGAGGCGTGGGCCTTGTGCCGCTTGGTCGCTGGGACCATGGGTTCGAATTCTACTCAACCCATGGATGTTTGTCCGCGTTTTTCTGTGTTGTGCTGTCTTGTGTACAGGTAGAGGCCTTGCGATGCATCGATCCCTCATCCAAGGAGTCCTATCGAATGTCTATAGATCAAGCCAACGAAAAGTTGGGACCCGCAGTGCTCAGGCACTTGAAGAACGGGTCGTTCCCAGTACCCAGTATTTATTACATTCTGTTGCTAAACTCTACTGTACAGGAAAGGGTAATTTAAACACCCGAGAGTCTTTCATAAATTTAAACACCTGTTGAATGGAGCTGCCATCTGGCCATTCATTTCATGGTTGATGGTTTGGTAGTGTGTTAGTGTGACACGTAACATGTGACAAGAGGATGATAAAGGTTAAACTCTGTTGTTCTATGAAGGATGGATATATCTTGGTTTTACTCAGTGATGAGACAGTGAACAATGTGTTGACCATGTAAGGTAAGTAAGTGGTGTTTTGTTTTTTTAAGAGATGGGAGATTGCTGATCGTGATAGTACCTATGTAGCATATCTGAAAGTTCAGCTCTTATGAATAAATAATTCTTTATTTTCAGATCCGTCAGCATGCTTTGCACCGAGATAGATACAGAAATGAGGTTATTCATCTAACAGAAAATGGATATTTACTGACCAACTGCCAACCTCTCATGTTTTCAGAAAGGTGCTTACTATGCTGGCATCAGAACTTTCAAACGTTTATCACCTAATCTCAAATCTAATTCAGATAAAAAGGAAAAATTTAAAGTAGCATGCATCCTACAGCTTAAAATGAACTCATATAATGTAAGATTTGAGGTTTTCACAGCAGTGAGTATGAAGATTTCTGTCTTCTTGGTTGTTGCGCTGTGTAGTCTGGTCGATGTTAACCAACGTTTCAGAGGTCATACTGCCTCCGTCATCAGGGCGATGACGGAGGCAGTACGACGTCTGAAACATTGGTAAACATCTACCATACTACACAGCGCAACAACCCAGAAGACAGAAATCTTCAACTCATATAATCATTTTACAGGTTTCAATGCTTACACAGCATAAATCATAATAATTAACATATCTGCTGTATAGCAGTGGATTTATTGTAATATTTCAATATTTGTTATGTTAGTCTTTCTTGTCTGTGAAACCTTGTACTTCATGACTTATTCCCAATACTTTCTGTGCCAAAAGCAAAGGGCTCACATAATTAGCCAAAAATTAATAACGTGCTCATATTAGCCCTCTGAGCCTCCTGCAACACACCCCTGACTGCATTCCTCAGCTCTTTTACCCTCGTGGAAATAACCTTAGTACACATTGGGCAGGAAGCAAAAATTTATAATATTTCTCAAGAGGATCAAAGTCTAGAGACATATGTAAATGATAAAAAATATGTAAAAACCCTTATTTCAACACTCTATGTGGATATTGACCTATGTATAATAGAATAAAAAAAAATCACCTTTACCCTCATGTGACACAAGTGCCAATAGAAATATTAAAATCAAAATTTACTAGGTTTTCCATCTAGTTTTATTGCACCAGTACAAATTCAATGCCAAAATTAATCCAAAAGTATGTTACTGATTTCAAGTGGAAATTTGCAGATAAACAGGTAGATAAATTCTTATTTTACAGATTGCACAAAAATGGATGCCTGTTTCCATCTATTAATTTCTTCCAATCGCAGTTCAATAAACAAAGAAGAAGTCAGTCAACTCACCCTTGCCCTGGCATCGACCTGTGCGCCATTGCGCAGCAAAATACGGATGATGTCTGTCTGGTTTGCCCGGGCAGCGAGGTGAAGTGGCGTTTCACCCCTCACGGTGGGCACATCAGGGCTTGCATCATGCTGTAGCAAGTAGATGACGATGTTCATGCAGCCCATAAAGCTGGCCACATGCAATGGAGTCAGGCCCGACTGGAACATTTAATTTTTTTGTAATGCGGTGCAGACATAAAATGAGCCTGACGTATTTTATTATAAGTTATTTTAATTTTTTAAGTATGAAATATACTATTCTAGTATTATGGAATAGTTTACCTTGGTTTTAAGTTTCTCATTAATTACAGTCCCTCCGTGCAAGTTGAATAGTATTAAAATAGGTTATGTTTGCTTCTTTCTAAGTCTGTTACATTCATCATATAATAACCTTCCCACATATCTGACATTATATAATAATTTCAGTGATATAATGTCATTGAAAACATAACAATAACAAATAAAAGAAGTTTCCTGGTCTTCTCTGAGTATCTCCAGGTGAATACCAGTACATAACCTCAAAACACTCCCAATGATCTTTCAGAGTCAATTTCTCTACGTAATTTGTTTCTGAGTCCTGAGGCTCGGTAGGAATGAACGTTGTGACACGTACCTCTGTCGTGGCCTCGATGGAGGCACCATGTTTGAGCAGCAACTCGACCACCTTGATCCTGTTCTTCTTGCAGGCAATGTGGAGCGGGGTAAAGCCATTAAGGGCTCTAGCATTGGGGTCTGCTTTGCGGTCCAACAGCAGCTTAGCCACGCGGACATGGCCGCAATGGGCCGCGACATGCAGTGCCGTGAGGTAGTCGACTGTCACCTCATCGACAGGGGCGCGATGGTACAGAAGGATGCGTGCTGCATCCACATGATCGCCCTGTGATGCCATATGCAGGGGTGCCAGCCCATTCTACAAGAAACATAATTCATGACGCCTAAAACCTACGTAGAGACATAAGGTGATTTTATGCGAATGTACAAGGTATCAATATGGATGCATGCCAAGATTTATACTCAGAATTGTCAGTATTGTCAAATATGAAGTTGAATGGAGATATCAGGCAGTCTGAGCATATAAAAATCTGAAATTCTGGCTGCTCAGGTAAATATCACCCCACTTAATGGTACCTGCACCTTGCCGTGGTGGTGGGGCTTGAGTACCTCAGTGACCCCAAGAGCTACTGGTAGGGCCTCCCTAGCCAGATTGGTCGAGGGGGAGAGGTCAGACTAAGACAGGTACCCTGGTCCTCCAGGTTGGGGGTTGGTCACAAGGCTAACAACCTTGCACCGTAAAAAGGAAGATAGATAAAAAGTTACTCGTGGCTGAACTTTTTTGATCATAATTTGACTTAGATATTTCACACTGAACCTGATGATACCCTCATTATTGTTGAATGTTAATTTTCTTGTATATTTAATATTACCAGTTTTCAGCCACTGATCTATTACTGGATAAAAAATTAGTCTAATTTAAAAACAATACTACAGTCTTTCAAAGGCATTATTAATCACATTTACTCATGGCCCAAAATGAATAATGATCCAATATTTATGGTCCTTGTGCCCTGTTGTGAAGCACTGCAATAATTCCATTCATGCTGTATATATATATATA